TTTTTTTTTTTTTTTTCAGGTTTTTGCCATAGGGTGCACACATTCACCAGAGAGACAGAAAGAGGGAAAGTGAAGAAGGCCACTCCTCAAGGGTGATGGCCACATTGCAATCCTGTCTCCTCCATTTTCCCCTCAGATTTTGGGCATGCACACACAAGTGCCTGGTATGATTTTCAATGCTGCTGGTTCCAGGACTTGAGTCCTGGACTTTAACCACCTTGCCACCTGCGGACCCCTTTGAACCATACTTTTAATAAAATCTAGGTCCTCTTTTTGAGTCTGTACTAGAAAAGTCATTATCAGTTATTCATGAGTCGATAAGAAAGTGTGTTTGTGTGTGTGGGGGGGAGGCACCTGGGAGGTGGGGAATAAGGTCCCAAGGAATAATGTGCAGAAAGATTGTTTCCTATTTTCAGATTTTCATGATGCTTATACCAGATAATACTTCTGGTTGAAAAAATAATATTGGTTCATCTGTTTGCTTTGTTATTCCTCAAGTTACAGATCCCTCCAATATCCTAAAGCTTTATTAGGAGGGTGAACAGATGTGACTGTCTTCCTTTCCTTTCTGCTTTAATTTCTTGCACATTGACTACTGCCCCACTGTACTAGCAATCCGTCTAGTCCAGTAGCCCTCTTCTCCTGCTTACTGCTCACTCTGTGATCTTGACACAGGTGACTTTTTTCTTTTTGCCTGTGGCATAGGTCCTGGAGCATTCTCGGGTTTGCCCTGTTACTTTGACCTGTGTCATCTTGGCGTTTGTCACAGACTCTTCCTCTGTTCACTTATTTCCTAACCCAGGTTTGGGTCTTTGTTGAATTCTCTTCATCTCCCTGAATGGTTTCTCTTGGCGATTTGGAGTTATTGCCATTGTTCTCATGATATCAGTTCTCTTTTAGGATATTTGTTTCTGAGGTTGCATGTACACTGGGCTACTCTGTTGAAGTCCACATGGATCCTTTCTGACTTCCTCTTGACACGTCCTGGGGGTGTCATGTATATAAAAACAGATTCAGCAGGTTAAACAGAACACTTTATTTTTCATTCCCACCCTGTGGCCACCTTTTTCCTGGGTCCTCTATCTTTTAGTGACCTCATCATAATCTTTGTTCAGAATTCAGATCTTGGCATCATTTTCATATTTGTTGCTTCTTTCCATTTGTACTGACTTTCCCATTATTCTTGACCCATATCCCTTGCCTGTGTATTGTTGTAGCGTCTTCACTTAGATTCATTTTTTCTTGTAATAGCAGAAAAATATGGTTGTGAGCCTTTAACCTAGCAGGTGAAACCTAAACACAGATTAATGTTGAATCAAATCATAGTTACATAATGGCAAACAAATTGTTTTTCAGTCTTTCATTTTGAAAATATGAACATAATGTAATAATATGGGTTAATTTTTAATTTAATATTGATGGACATGAAAATGTTGACACTTATTACACATTAGCCTGTGCACATAATTGAGTATGATCTATGCTATATATGGAAAATTCTGTTTGAATGAACTGAAGTCTGAAATAGATAATTCATTATTTCATTTTATTTTCCTAGAGAAATTTCAGTTGATGTCAAGCGTTGTGTCAGTTTGTTTTCAGTCAATGTGTTGTTCAGTGAGTTCTTTGTTTACATGTTATTCTCATATCTACATGGTAGAAAAATTGAATTCTATTTTTAACTGAAATCTTGAGAGCCAGCCAGATTGTATCACTTTGGAAAAGAGATCCAAGCTCATATGATTGTTCACAACCCTCTCCTACTTTTTAAAATGATGATGTGTAAAAATATACTTCTTGAATATGATTTTATTAACTAGAATGCAGTGGATTGGTACAACTGTCAAATTGAAGTCTTCCTCTTTCCCCTTGGATATTTCCTCTTTTGCCCATCTTGTATCAGTTGAAGAAAGTGTCATATGATGGAAAATACCAGTAGTTTCCAGTTTGTGACATGCAACGTATCCTTTTAACTCAGATACCTAGCTTGTCATGTTACATCTTTCCCAATTTAGAAGAATAATCGCCATCAACCCACAGACCCCAAGAATGATAGTGTAGGTCTCCATTTCCTCCTGTCTATGGGGCTCTGTGTGGTTACTTCACTCTTGTCTGTCCTGGGGCTTTTGCCTGGAATGGAAATGCATGGCAGAGTTGGTTGATCAAGTCAGTGGAAAGGTAGATTACAAAATTTTGCAATTGTTTAGCCAAAATAAAGAAGACTTCTGCCTTAGGATGTTGTTGGAAATCCACAGACCTGGCCTACATTTTGGCTTTATATATCTTGGAAGGCTATAATTGAAAGATGGAGAGAAGACCGTTACGGTTATGACAGGTCTCTTCCAAGATCAGACAGGTGTTTTGGTCATTGGCCTGAGGGATAAACTTCAGCATCTTGTTCTCGTCTCTGAAAATACTGGAGCTCATAATCCCTACTCCACAGCTGTGAGTACCTCAGGTATTTGCTGCTTTCATGACCCATTTTTCATAACGTTCACCTTGTCAGTCACTTACTGATGAAAAGCAATATTTTTAGGTAAACATAGAGCATATGCTAAGACATTGCATAGACAAAAGAGCACTGGTAAATGAAAGAACGTTAGTATTTGGGAGACCTTAAGGGTTGTTTAGTATCATAGTGTAATTGCTTTGTCAACATTTTTGATACAACTCTGGAGTTAACAATAGCTTACTTGTGTGTGTATATATATATATATATATATATATATATGTGTGTGTGTGTGTGTGTATATATATACACACATATATATATATACACACACACACATATACACATATATGTATATATATATATTTTTTTCTAATGACTCATGATGGTGCAAAATTTAGATTACAGAGATGTAAAAGTTAGCAAGGCATTAAAAAAAACCATCATCTCTTGAGTAAAATATTGACATAAAATTTATAAAGTGTATTTAAAATAGATGGCTTATGACATCTGATCCTTCAACTACATTTTTTTGTTTGTTTTTTGGCTTTTTTTTTTTTTTTTCAGGTTTTTGCCATAGGGTGCACACATTCACCAGAGAGACAGAAAGAGGGAAAGTGAAGAAGGCCACTCCTCAAGGGTGATGGCCACATTGCAATCCTGTCTCCTCCATTTTCCCCTCAGATTTTGGGCATGCACACACAAGTGCCTGGTATGATTTTCAATGCTGCTGGTTCCAGGACTTGAGTCCTGGACTTTAACCACCTTGCCACCTGCGGACCCCTTTGAACCATACTTTTAATAAAATCTAGGTCCTCTTTTTGAGTCTGTACTAGAAAAGTCATTATCAGTTATTCATGAGTCGATAAGAAAGTGTGTTTGTGTGTGTGTGGGGGAGGCACCTGGGAGGTGGGGAATAAGGTCCCAAGGAATAATGTGCAGAAAGATTGTTTCCTATTTTCAGATTTTCATGATGCTTATACCAGATAATACTTCTGGTTGAAAAAATAATATTGGTTCATCTGTTTGCTTTGTTATTCCTCAAGTTACAGATCCCTCCAATATCCTAAAGCTTTATTAGGAGGGTGAACAGATGTGACTGTCTTCCTTTCCTTTCTGCTTTAATTTCTTGCACATTGACTACTGCCCCACTGTACTAGCAATCCGTCTAGTCCAGTAGCCCTCTTCTCCTGCTTACTGCTCACTCTGTGATCTTGACACAGGTGACTTTTTTCTTTTTGCCTGTGGCATAGGTCCTGGAGCATTCTCGGGTTTGCCCTGTTACTTTGACCTGTGTCATCTTGGCGTTTGTCACAGACTCTTCCTCTGTTCACTTATTTCCTAACCCAGGTTTGGGTCTTTGTTGAATTCTCTTCATCTCCCTGAATGGTTTCTCTTGGCGATTTGGAGTTATTGCCATTGTTCTCATGATATCAGTTCTCTTTTAGGATATTTGTTTCTGAGGTTGCATGTACACTGGGCTACTCTGTTGAAGTCCACATGGATCCTTTCTGACTTCCTCTTGACACGTCCTGGGGGTGTCATGTATATAAAAACAGATTCAGCAGGTTAAACAGAACACTTTATTTTTCATTCCCACCCTGTGGCCACCTTTTTCCTGGGTCCTCTATCTTTTAGTGACCTCATCATAATCTTTGTTCAGAATTCAGATCTTGGCATCATTTTCATATTTGTTGCTTCTTTCCATTTGTACTGACTTTCCCATTATTCTTGACCCATATCCCTTGCCTGTGTATTGTTGTAGCGTCTTCACTTAGATTCATTTTTTCTTGTAATAGCAGAAAAATATGGTTGTGAGCCTTTAACCTAGCAGGTGAAACCTAAACACAGATTAATGTTGAATCAAATCATAGTTACATAATGGCAAACAAATTGTTTTTCAGTCTTTCATTTTGAAAATATGAACATAATGTAATAATATGGGTTAATTTTTAATTTAATATTGATGGACATGAAAATGTTGACACTTATT